CGGAGATGTGATGTTCTTTGAAAGAGAAAAAAATTTCAAGTTTCAAACTAAAAAGGAACAAAACTTAAAATATCTCATGGGGTAAGTTACTGCATTATATTGCCTAAAGAAACATACAATAGTTGGATAACTTAAAAAGCCATACAATTGCTGGGGCTGGCAGGTGGCATGGTGGTTAAGGGCCAACCTCGGTTTGAGTCCTGGACCTGGCAGTGCTTTTTTTTACTTTCTCTTCCTCTCTGGTCAAATTATTTATAAATAGATGGATGGATGGTCAAATTATTTGTAAATGGATAGAAGGATGGAAGGTTAAATAAAATTATTCTTTGGGGGAAGAAAAGCCATACAGTTGCCATTACTGAATGTCTGCTGGGTCAAAAATAAGTAAAAGATGTAATGTTACTTTTAAGCAGTATAGCCAACCTGTCATATTAAGGTTTTGTATACAGACATGAATTCAGAGTTGTTATCTCTGTAGAAGTGTATTTATATCTTACAAATGGAGGAATCTATAAAACAGCTTGTTACTTACATTTGTTGATCATTACTTAATGACCAGTGGGGGACCAGCAGGTGGCATGGTGGTTAAGGTGCTGGACACTACCACATGGCCAACCATGGTTTGAGTCCCGGACTTGGTGGCTTGCTTTCTCACTTCCTCTCTCTGTCTCTCTCTGATCAAATTAAATGAATGAATAAATAAATAATTCTTAAAAAATGAATGGCCAGTGGATGCAGTAAAATTATGTTAAACCTGGACCCATGTGAATATAAACATAACTTTTTAGTGAGTGACAAAGTGGGAAATTTTCATAAAGTACTCCATACAATGTTGTCTTGAACAGCACTCTTACAATTAGGTTACAAACTAAATTCGCTTCTGTTTTCTTAGAGCACCATTTTTATCATGAGAAAATGAGAAGTTTTGGCTATTAAAAGTTGGCTGCTAGGAAGACATTTTCTCAAATAGGAAAGTGAGCCTGTCAAGGAAAAAAAAAGAAAAACAGTAATTGTGATAAAATTCAACTTTTTT